CATTGCTTATTATGCGGTGGTTTTTGTGCCGTTCGGTAAGGGTTTTAGGTACCCAACGAGCGCAAAGTGCAAGAGCACTAATCACAAAATTACAGTGTTCTTTAATCTTCTCAACTGTAAGAAGCAGCTAGTTCATCATTCCCAACAACACTTCGTTACTCATCATGGACTGTATCTTGCCCTTCTTTGAACTGTCGAACTTATCTTCTCATCATTGAATCACCCATCACATTTTCTCCATATTCCTCATAGATTTTTCGGGAATGTCAATTGTTTTGAAATTTTTTGCATTAAGAAAACAAATCAGCAACTGAATTTTCCAATTGGCAGGATTCTCAATTTACGCAGCCATTACAAGCAAGCGCTACAAAGTGCACGACAACTATAAACACAGAGTAACTGCCATGCATGTGCTGAACTGGGATCGCAACGCTACTGCAAACAATTTTGGAAACAGAACTTACTTTCCAAATGTTCCTCATGTTTAGCATCACCCTCTTTTTTATATCAGCAAATATATTTTCAGGATGTATGTAATTAGTTTATTACTGTGAACCCAAAGGTTTTTTATATTGAGTTTTTACCCTAAGGAAGGTTGCAACTAAAGCCACTACATCTATAAAATGTGCTATATATTGTGTCTTACAATCTAACTTCCAAGGTCTGAATCAATTTAACTTGTGAAAAATAGGGTTAAACATTGCTTTGGGTAAGTATATTACAGTAATATCAAAGTCGGCCAGTACATTTAGGTTATGTGTTACTCAATACTCTGTATGGATATAAAGCTATTGACTAAAAACTTGTATAATTTTAATATCACACTTCTTTTGGATATACGTGATACTTTAGTTAACATACTTAGAAAGAAGATCTGCATACTTTTTAACAGTTAAAAAGAAAAATAATCCTTGAGATCTAAAATTATACCTTGGAACAATTTCAGAAAATGGTGAGCTTTTGACAGTGCCAGAAGCATACAGTAACATCATAAAAGAGCACAATACATTCTCTGAAGTCGACTTGCATGCTGAAATGAAGACCATCCTTGCAACAGTGAGTTTGTTTTAATCTTATGCTGTTTATTAATTTACAAAATGATTATATTCAAACTGTCCTCGCTAAAGGAATGGCTGACTTACTTCAATAACAAATAAACTACAAAGATTATCTCACTCCATTCTAAATTAAGTGTTCCAACCAGTAGTTCAACTTCATCTCGTACAAACAGAGGTCTATTTATTCATACAGACGGGGGCATCACAAATAGAAAAATGTCATTTTTTTTGTATAAGTAAAAAAACTAATTTTTTTTTATTTCAGGGAAGTGACACAACAACTCTAGGCGTTAGCTACTGTCTGCTTCTGCTTGGAACTCATCCGAAAATTCAGGTATTATATTGATACCAGGGAGTCAAAACAAAATTTAGGGATTTTTTCACTAAAATGAAATATTTTTTTATATGAAACATGAAAGGTACTTGGAAACAAATCAATAAAGATGGCAATTAAAACATCATCTTTATGGTGAATTAGGGATGCATTGCTTGCAAATCCACATTAAAACTACATTGGCTGTATTCATTACTGGTGCTAACTAATTGTTATTCAGTCACCCCTGCATAGAAGATTATAGAAGCTTTGTCCATGGGCTTTGAAAGTTTCAGTGCTTGTTTATAGATTGCTTGACTATTGCTTATGAAACACTAGTACGGAACCGGCCTAAGTAATTGTGGATTCATACAGAGAAATCTTATAAGTTTATAGAAGCTTTAATTGTGCATGGGTTTTTAAAGTTTCAGTACCGGTACTACTTTGTAGGGGTCCATCCTTCACTTGACGATTGCTTAAGAAACACATGAATGATTAAGACAGAGATGTTTTTGAATAAAATGTGCTGACCTTAGATCAATCTTGTTAAATACTTACACTTATGCTATCCCCATACAGTCCAATAACTTTTATTTGAGTTGGATTGATGATACCACTTTTTGTACTATTCAAACTTTTAGCTTGACGAAGGTACCAAGTTTTACATAGTATAGTAGAAGAAATGTAAGATTATGCTATTAGACTATAGTACATTTAATGCAGTAAGTATTTCAACACTGTCCTGTATCAGCTGATTTAGCCTTATCCTACAGTACTGTACTTCTAATAATTTCTTCTATCTACATTGAAGAAACTCATATATTTTAATATTTCAGGATAAACTGTACAACGAGATTACCAGTTTGCTGAGTTCAGATAATAAAGATATTACAATTGAAGATGTAAATTCTTTGCAATTCCTGGATCAAGTTATCAAAGAGAGTTTAAGACTATCAACGATCGTCGTCGCCTTTATAAGGACGTTCAGTGAAGATATAAAATTGAGTATGTTTTTTAATCATTCTGTGTTGAATTTATAGGAAAGATATTTTGTTCTGAAAGACTCTTAAGAGTAAAAAAAATCCAGTGAACAAAAAGCACCCCTCCAACCCCTCCCCCCTTCTTAGCGAACAAAAGGTAGTCAAATATAATAATCAGATTGCCCAGAGTAAGTAATTTATCGATAGATAACATGGTAGAAATCGGTTTTGTTGTTAAAGTACCCTACATTTGAATTCATTGTATGTACCTACATTTTTGACTATAGATCTCAACCTAGGTACCATATTTTTGGGAACCTGATTAGCTTGAAATAATAATGGTATAAATTGGGCATTGCTGAACTTTGAATGTATTTGCAACATGATAAACAACTTTAAGAGTATACTTAAAATTACTTGTTACTAAATTGTTAATTAGATCAAATTTAGAGCCATGACAATAGAGAAAAAGGTTTTACAGTGACCTTAACGTTTAAATACATTATGGTGGTATTAAACTTATTGTAAACACTAGCAGAGTACCCGTCCTTCGTACGGGGTTGGCATATATGTATCAAATGCTTATAGCAGTTATGAGTGAGGACATGGTTTAAGAAATTTCGGTTCTTTTTGAAGTTCGTTCGCTACGCTCACTCACCTTTAGGTTGGAGCTCGTTCGCTGCGCTCACTTTCCTTCAGGTTAGCTCGTTCGCTACGCTCACTTCCCTTCAGGTTAGCTCGTTCGCTACGCTCACTCGCCTCCAGGTTGAAGTTCGTTCGCTACGCTCACTCACCTTTTGCTGTTGTCATAAATGTAAAAGAAATAATAGTGCTAGTGCTGCACCCTGTTGGTAATCCTTGTAACTTTTAATGCTATTGAACATCATAGAACAGAACCAACTTGTTTAATTGAAACAGCTGTTAAGATTCATTAATTCCATTTCTCATAAGGTTAACATGGGAAACTCCAGAGCCACTGGGGCGGAGCCCCGAAGGATTTTTGGGATAAAAATATGCCTATATGTTAATCGGGAATGTGAGCTATCATCATGCCAAATTTCAGCCCGATCCGACCAGTAGTTTTCGCGTTTACTTTTCCCATACACACACACAGACACCACCTCTTTTTTATAATAGTATAGATTTAATTACTTACATATTAATATATAATTAAAACAATTTTTACGCTAGCATTTCCAGCAATTAATGCGCTAATTTTGTAGCCTTATCAGTGAGTTATTAAGTTTAAAAAGGGAAATCTCAGAAATCAATTTTATAATATGTTTCATTTTTTATAGCTGAACACACCATTCCAAAGGGAGCTAGTGTGATGGTGAGTGTTATAGGACTTCATTTTGACCCTGAGGTTTACCCAGATCCTTATGAGTTTAAACCAGAACGGTTCACTCCAGAAAACTCAGCAAAAAGACACCCATATTCATTCTTACCATTCAGTGGTGGTCCACGAAACTGTATTGGTAAGTTATAACAAGAAAATACAGTTTGTTATTTTGGAATTCAGGCAACACTAACATTAGCAATAAATAGGATCAATTATCTTGTATATATCGCCACGTCATTTTATAGCAGTAGTTGATTTTACCTTGGTTTTGAAGTTCTTGGTGGCTTGATAATCAAGTTCACACGGAGGGTATAGGCATGGTGAATCCTCTTTATTAGCGGTGGTGTGAAGATTTGTCCTACAAACACGGATTACACACTAACAAAACATTATTTAAAAACTGGCGGGGCTATGATTAAAATGTTCTATCACTCAATAATTTGTATATAGAACTAAAAATGTATGTATAAAACAGTAAAAAACTCATCTTAGGGTGGCAAAATTAGCATACTTCAGAGTATACATTTGTTATTGTTAACAAAAACATTAGGATTGTATATATTTATTTTTTATACTGAATTGAACCTTTATTAAATTTAAGTAAAATATTACTGTCTCTATATATGTTGCATTTTTTTTTTCAGGAAAGCAGTATGCAATGATCTCTATGAAGATAATGTTGGCTTACATATTGAGAAAATATAAAGTACATGCGAAAGATAATCTTTCAGATCTAAGATACTTTTTTGCAATTGCTCTCAGATCTATTGACGGCTACAAAATAAGCTTAGAGAGAAGAAATAAATCAAATCAAAATCAATACCGGTAACTGTTTATTTTAGAAAAGGCTGTTTAATAAATCCAAGTTTTCAAAGTGTTTTACTGTGAGATATTGAGATATTTAGATCTAAGTATTAACCATCAACTGAACAGCTCAGCAGGCTTGTTTTGAAAGAATTAATCATAAAACTATGACATTGGAATGCCTGTTTGATTGAGACATACTCATCTGCTTATCATGTTGAAAAACCAATGTTATAATTATGGCCATTGAAGTGTTAGGGAAAAAACCGTCATTTGTAATTTCTGGTTTGTTCTATGATACATACTCTACCTAGACAAGTTGATAATTGTTTATTTTTGCAATAAACTCAATCTAGTTTGGATGGCCTAGTTTAAAAAGCTAGCAAATGAAGCTTCTCCAAGAATCGACTTATTCTTTAGTTGCCTGTACCCATATAAGCAAATAACACAAAATATCTATCTCAGTTCAGTTGACTATTGCTTTCCAAGCTAAAAAGTATTACTCAGTAGTTTCTTATCACCTGCAAAAATTCATCATTACATTGATTACTACTGAAAAAGAATGTTTACTATGCGAAAGTAATGTTTCTTTTTTGGGATTTTGCCGACGTAAACAAACAAAGATTTGTTTTTGTTTGTCAACGGTTTCAATTTTCAACAACTTAAACCGTACAACCAAAGTAGATAATAACTTTAATTTGAAGGTATAACCTAAAAAATTTCTATGCGTTTTTTTAACGTTCCTAACTGTAATAAAGAAATATCCAACGACCTGTTTTAATTAAGAAAATTATTAGTCTATATGTAGTGTAGCGAAAAATTAACCTTAAAAAAAAACGTGAGTGAAAGTGGGTCTATACACATTCTCGACCATTTAAAGTGCTCGATAAATCTCGCACTTTAAACATATGGTCTCAAAAATATGCAATGACTCACTTTCTACTCTTGTTATGAAATATACTATTTCCTGAGCCATTAAGACAAACAATAAGTGATACCCAAAAAATAAAAGTGTTTTGTATAGGTTTACATTACAAAGATGCACAATTTTGATTAATATTTGTATTTTAAACCCAACTACAACTAACATCAATCTTTTCTGTGATGTTGTCGTCCTCGACGTACACTGAGGGAGGGAGAAGGAATGGAGACGAGTAGTTTGTGAATGCCATGTAAACTCCATGTTCCCTGAAACATATATAAGCTATTAACACATTAGCTAACACAATCATGCTTTGTGTATGTTAGAGGGGTTGAGGTTAATGCTAATGGATTCATTTATTTTTGTTCTACTCCAGCGAAACAGGCTGCTTTCAATACATGCTTTGTGAGGCTAAGGTAGCTCTTTTTCTCACTAGGGGAAAAAAAATAAAAAAGAGCCACTTTTTCCCCTAGTGATGAAATATGCTATTTGTTGATTGGAAGTAGGCAGTTTGAAATTCGAAACGGCACACGGAAGATTTCTCAGGTGCCGTTTGACGTCACTAACTGCTGACGTCACTTTGAGGGAACACCAATATCGCAAAGATACGGGATTGAGCCATCGGCCTCGGTGGTGCAGTGGATAGCGTTGCGGGCTGATAATCCGAAGGTTCCGGGTTCGAATCCCGCCGGCAGCACTAACTTTTTATCAAAAATTTTTTCATATCAGCAAGTTTGGTTGGTTTGGTTAGGTTATGACAGTTTAATTTTATAATTAAAAAATTATAAAATTGAATTTTAGGCAATTATAATTTTATTTTATGAACAAAACTATTTTTTAGATTAGTAAACCTTTATTCGATTTTTCCATTATCAGCACGTTTGGTTAGTTTGGTTAGGTTATGACAGTTTAATTTAATAATAGAAAATTATAAAATTGTCTGTTTCTTCAGACGAAGCAGTTAGTGACGTCAGCAGTTAGTGACGTCAAACGGCACCTGAGAAATCTTCCGTGTGCCCCACCGGTTTGAAATTGCACTAATCAGCTGTTATTCCTTTACAAATTTCTAATGATTCTCACAGCTGATTGCACTTCAATAGTCATGTAAGAAGTAAAAACTGAAAATGTAGATGTCAACAGGGCGGAGCCTAAAAGAATTTTTATGGCATCAGTGTGTTTACTAGTTTTTACAGTATGGTTTTAGAGAACAAGAGAAGGACTTGCAAGAGAATAATTGCCAACTGCCAGGTTTCTTTTCTAAAAATATGCCCCAAATATTTTGTTAGGTACTAAGAGAGTTATATGAGTTCCGCACCACAAAATAAGCATGTTAAAAAACAACAAATTTACAATCAGCAGAATTTAGACTCATGCGTCTTTGATCCAAACCTTTTCTACATAGTGCTTCACTGTGTAAATACATGAATTATTAAGGATATCGTAAAATTGTTTGTCAACTACAGTAAATAACCACTAACTCAGGAGAGATGGGTTCCCCCAGCAGAATTAGTTCTTCTGTGTTGGACACTTTACAGAAGCCATTGGTGTAGAAGTTCCAACTCCAGCAGGCAAAGCCCCACAAGCCCACAGGTGAAGTGATTGACTCGGCAAAGTACTCAACTGCTCGTACATGGTCACAACTGCGGTCTAAGGCACATTTAAGACATACCTTTTAAAGCAGTATCAGCCAAAAAGTTTACTTATTGTAATAAAATATGTTTTCTAATTTCATTTAATCAGATTTACACTACAAATTTAATAAATTTAGAAACATGGTAATATGTATACATTAGTTACAGTAGGGTCTCCACTATCTGATGTTCAGCTATAAAGACTTTTGGTTATCCAATCCTCACTATGATTCAAAAACTCATAAATGACTATGAATTGCTGTGAAATTTCTAATGTGTAGCTACAATATACAGGGTGTTCAAAAAAGGTGGGGACGTATTTTACGTACTGATTCCTTGGGCCAAAATAAATAGAAAATCAAGAATAAAAAAAAAATATAATTTTGTTATATCCGCCATTTTGTATTTTTTACATAAAAGATTTTTATCTTTAAATTGTTTTAACCGATCCTTATGAAAATTGGTATGTATAGAGAGACCCATCATAGAAAAAAATTCATCTTGATTCAACTTAAAATTTCATAATGGGGCCATTTTAATTTTCTAAGCTCAAATAACAAAAAAATGCTAATTTTATGAAAAAATGTCAAGACTACTTTTATTTAGCATTTTTAATTCCCTATCAAACGATACCAAGTTCAAAAATAGCAAATAAGAAACAGCTGAAATATTATTGTAATGATTTTTTTGCATAGTGTTTGATACATACTGCAGTTACAACCAGGCTGGTTGGCGCCATTGTTGAGGTAGACATCGATGGTTCCACCCACCGCCTTCTTGCCCTTGTGTCCCATATTGCTGTGGTACACGTCCACAAACATTGCGTCCCCAGGGTCAATCAGGGATGCCAGTGAGTTGGTCCAGTCATCGAACAATGGGAGAGCTGGATCCAATCCTGGGAATATAAAATTTTAAGTTTGAGTTTTGGGTACCTCTGAACACATAAAAGTAGTTTCTGAAGTGATTACTGTGTGTGTGTGGATGTGTACAGAGCTACACACTCCATCTGTGGTCCGATTCTGATGAAGTTGGTATGGTGGTATCCATATAGTATTTCTATGTGTATTTTAACTTTTTTTCAATTTCTTTTTATAAAACCCCATAGAATAACAGAAAATCATATTTTTACAATAACAGAATCAAAAATGTTGATAGAAGTTTTGTATTTTAAAGTCCTTTTAACCCAAATGTGCACAGCCCCCAAAGCTGTAAAAATTACTGTTCAAAAGTTATTCAATATATTGTGATTTTTTTTTTCCATGAAATATCATAAATAAATGTTTTGCTCATTTAAGTAGTACTGATGTAAAGTAGTAATTATAAGTTGGTGTAAAACAGCTGGTCCATGTAAGGGATCTGGATATGAGACTGTACCTGTGAGTCTCGGCACTTTGCCAGACTTGAGGTTAGAGGCGACTGTGGCGGCAGTGTGTGCTCCGAGACTGAACCCCACGATGTGTGTGTTGTTGACGCTGATATCGCTGCGTGTCTGGTACAGAAGGTCCAAGAATTCCGCAGCGCAGTGGCCCACAGTGTCCACATTGTGTGCCGCCTCCCAGTAGCACGGCTCGGCGGCCAGCGGACTCCAGTCTACTGTCACAATGTTGTACTCTCCATGCTTGAAGTACGCTGCAGCATTCACATACAAAACACGGATAAATCATAACACAGGGCACAATTTTTTAATTGATAAGTTGAAAATTGTCTATTTTTCCAAAACAGTTCAACATAATCATACCTATATTAACAACAGCTTTTATCCATTGTTGATTTTGTTGATTGTTTGATTTTTGGAAGGGATGATCTTTTGATAGAAGTCTATGTTAGAGAACTTTTAAAGCTGCTACTCAATAACTTGAACCAAAAGGTAGCGATTTCGACTTTATTTGACAAATTAGAATGTCAAATCAGAGCTCTTGACACATTAGGAGTAACTACTGATAAATGTGCGGCTATTCTTTACCCATTAGTTGAGTCGTGTTTGCCAGAGGATCTTTTAAGGGCGTGGCAACGTCATTCCGACTTTGATCCAGAAGCTGATTTGAAGAATAGACTCGATGCGCTTGTTTCTGCGCATTGAAGTGACAAATGAGGAGCGAATTTCACTTGCTACCTCAGGTTTTGGGGACTCGAAGAGACAATTGGGTAAGTCATCCAAACCATTCTTAAGTAACAAAACAGAATCAATTCCCACTGCAACCGATCTTGTCAACCAAAAGGTTGGTAAACCCCCTATGAAATGTATTTTTTGTGGTGAAAAACATTTGACAGAAAATTGTAAGAGTTGTAGTAATCTGACACATTTAGAAAAGGTAAACCTATTATCAAGTAACAGATGTTGTTATCGTTGCACAAAGTATGGCCATGTCAGTAAGAAGTGTCATGTTCGATTAAACTGCTCTCTTTGCAATGGTCGACATGCAACAGTAATGTGTAACAAGTCTCAAGATAAATCTAATGTAAATTATGTTAATGATAACACTTTAGTACCTTGTGAAAGTAATTTAGCTAATAATGCACACTCTGAAGTATTTTTACAAACTGTACGTGTGAATATTAGAGGAAGTAATAAAGAACGAGCAGCACGAGTCATTTTTGACTCTGGTTCTCAAAGGTCCTACATTTTGAAGAAAACTGCAGAAGAAATGGGGTATGTATCATTTGGAAAGGAAACCCTTAATCATGCATTGTTTGGTGGATCAGTAACAAATGCTGTTGAACACAATCAACATAAAGTAAGGTTAAGTGATTTGGGTAGCAATTACTATTGCAACTTTGAGGTATTAGATCAAGATGTGATATGTAATAATATTTCAGAAATCAAAGCCCTTGGATAAACAAATTACAGTCTTTTGGTTTTAATGTTTCTGACACTGTAGAAGGGCCAATTGAAGTTTTGATTGGATCTGATATTGGTGGAAAGTTGTTTACAGGGAAACGTCATGTTTTGACAAATGATTTAGTTGCAATGGAAACCTTACTTGGTTGGGTGTTAATGGGGAAAGGAAAAGTAAAAGGAGTGACATGTAGATCAAGTGTAATGACTATAGGCCTAACATCTTTGTTAACACCTATTTCTGACAAGTGTAGTGTAGACATTCCTAATATAGAGGATCCTGTAACTGTCAAGATGGAATCTGAAAATAATAAGATTTGTGAATGTGATGAAGACGCTTTTGGATATGAATTTAAAAAGTCTGTATCATCAAGTATAGCAATTTTGAACTCAGAAAGTTCAAACAAAAAAGAAGTAGAAGAAGTGCAAGATAAAGAAAGTTCAAATGGAAAAGTTGTAAATAAAGTTAAATTTAGAAAACGAGGAAAACAAATTAAGTTACCAAAAAGACTGAACTTTTAACAAACTTTTAACTTTTCAAACAACTTTAGACTTGTTCCAGTAGGTGCTGGCATCTATCGGCAGCTCAGAGAACTATTACAAATGTCTCCAAGTAACACTGCCGGTAAGGTAGATCGAATAAAAAAATGTAACCTCCAGGTGACGCCGGGTCCGAAGAGGATAATATGTGTTTTGAGTCTTTAAATAATGGAAACTTAAGACTCAAAAGGTGGGAGTATGTTGAAAATTACTGTCTCTAGATGATTATTTATATGTTAATTTAATTCATCAGATGTTTTATTTGTTTACATTTTGCAATTAGTGTTTTCCTTTTGATGGATTGTTAGAGTTGGTCTTGAGTAGTTATGTCTGAATAAAATTGAAGTTCTTTTCGTTCTATGTTTTCTTGAGATTATTTAAAAAGTATACCCCTTTTAGAAGAATCAGTATCGCGTTTTAACAGAAATTATGATAGATTCTGACTGCATATAAAAAAAAGATTGTTTGTTTACAATTTTAAATTTGTCTAGTTTACCTGTTCATAATGATCTGATGAAAATGCAAGTGGTGTAAATCAAATTTTATTAAATATCATGTTTTTAGAGAAGTTTGGTTCAGCCTCACGTATAAGGGAAGTTTTGTTTAATGAAAAGAAGTAAGTCCCTTGTTCATTCCATCTAGCATAATATAACACAACTGTGCCAATATTGTTTTAATATAATTTTATTCCTCCACATAGAACAAAATGAGTTGGTTTAAACCAAACCAATTTTCTTTTATTGGCCTTTAGACTACAATCAATTACAAGAAAACAAATTTGGAGTTTTTTGTTGTTTATTAAAAATTCTTTGAAGTAAAACGTTTAAAAATCAGAACATAGTACTAGAATAAGCACGTATCCAACTCCATTTTATTTGTGATTCCTCTCTTGTATTCTATCGATGGTTCTTAAAAAGTTCATTAGACTTTCAGTTCTCCCTCTGACTGACCTGGCCTTAGTTCCATGTTAGGCGAGTAGTCCTTGTTGCCAGTATATCCATGTATGATCACTTTGAGAGGCACTCCCTGTACAAACTTGGCTTGTCGTAAAGTATCTGAGTCTAATGGGTCCAAGCGTTGGGGAGAGTTTTGCGTATCTCTGAAAAGTGTTAGTTTATGTAATTATATACTTTTATAAATTGTAATCCCTTTTTATAACATCTATTACAAATCTAAAAAGCCTTTGGACTATACCTCTGGGTTTGTGATGTGATCTTAGGGCTGTGAAGTTCTGTTACAGCTTTTAAATCACACAAGCCAGTAGAGAAGGCAATGATCGGACAGTGGCTCTCTAACTAGCAATGTTTATGTTTGGTCCATTTGCGTGAGATGCTGAGGTACAACGTTTGGTTTATGGTCCTTGGAAATATCCAATAAGTCTGGTATCATATAAAGATAATTAATTATTAAATAAATTAAATCCTTCTTGTTCCATCACAAGTAAGCTGCTGAACACTAAGGGGCGGTTCACGAGCTCGGGACTATCGTAGTCCGAGCCCAGAATCCGGAAATAACCGGTATTTGGGCCGCGACTTAAAAAATCGGGTTCACGAGCTCGAGACTATATAAGCCGCGGACCAGACTGATAGGCGGCTCACAATTAGTGCAGGGATAAAACCCGGTTTTAAAAGTTGGGTTCACGAGTCCAATTACAGATAGTCCCGGCTTTGATCATTAGTCCCGGTGGGTTCACGAGTCAAGTCCGAGCCCAGATAAGATGGTTCGGGCCCAAAAGAACAACGGTGTTTGGTCTCCAACTCAGACCTGGTAGGAGGCAGGTTTAACGTGACATGATGCCGGTTTTATCTAATTAGCTCCTTTATTTTTATTATTTGTTAAAAACTAATGTTTAAATATAGTTCCTCATTAAATTCCGAACAATTTCATTACCCACAACACCGTATTAAAAAAATATGTAAAAATGGTAAAAAGGCTAATAAATCATGAAAAAAATCATCAAACAGCTTAAAACGACTGATAAATTATGCACGTAACGAAATAGTATCATAAAAAAGATATTTTACTGACAAACCCCATGTTATTACTATTTTAACGACAAAATTATGTGTAGAATATAAATATAACTAATCAGCCACAGTTAAACCATCGTTATCCAACATAATTATCAGAAATAGTTTTTTGCCGTGGGAAACATCAAGCAAACCGTCAGTCGTTGAGTACGGTTCGCGGTGATATCACTGTCTTGTGTTGTACTCACTGGTCGCCGTGTGTATTGAATATGACTATGAAATATCTATACTGTATTATGTTCACAATTATGTACGATCAATCCACTACCTCGCATAAGACCAGCTCGTTATCATGACTAAAACCCTTTTATGACTTGATGAATTTAGAGATAGATTAAAATGTTCCAAATATACCGTCAATGAGAAATTTGAGGCGTTCACTCCAAGGCACGGATTTCCCGACAGCAAAATCCGTTACAGTATTCTAAATTGAAAAAAAAATTTAGTTGCACTAATATTTTTGGCTGATGGCACTTTTCATCGAGAAACTGGTGATTTATTGGATGTTAGTAAAGTTTGGATGGTAGCTATTTGTTTGGTAATGAAAGCAGAACAAATTAAATTTTCAGTTCGAAACTATGCCCAAAGAAAAAAAAAACAATGTTTTCCTACTACTGTAGTAAATATAATATAATACTAGTAAATCCTTCCTACCTAGTAAATATAAACGCATTGTAATGAAACTGATTTTAAAAATCGCAACAACACAAAATGTAAATTAAAAACCATAGCTGTTAACATAAATAATATTACGAGCTAATTGCAGAATATTATTTTCAACATTTTACAGTTAGATTATTATAGAGTGTAAGAATAACGGAAAGAATATTCTTTGGTTACAGCCACGATTAAATCCAGCACACACATAAGATTTTTATATCTAATAATCAGTACCTCTAAATACATTTTAGTTTCAATAACTGTACCATTAAAATAAGTTTAGTTAAAATTATCCTATCCAAAAATCACCATCCTAAATTATCGGGCAATTATGCAAAATATGCATTCATCCGGTTATAAATACCCGGTTATTTTATGTCATGCATCTTAATTAAATTATAATAATGCAAACAGAAAAATATATTTCACTAAAGACTTCCATTATCTGATTTCATACAAACGTGGATTGTTGTGTTTATAAATCTGTAAATAGATTATCATAGGCGAGCACTGGACAATGAAATACGAGAAAAATAATCGTTTTGGACGTTTTGGTTCAGTCTTTTTTCACACGATCATCCTATTGTATGGAAGTGCGTATGTCAACAGCAGTGGCTTCAGATGTATTTCCAGACTGTTGTTACTGGTTGTTACCAACGTCTCAACAGAAATTCCCTGCGAATCCCTGTCATTAGGCTCCGCTATGGATTTGGTCTCGACCTACAATGGGCCCGGCTTTCACATCATTAGGCTCTGACTCGTGAACCCATTTTTTGGTCGTCGCTTATATAGTCCGGGACCAACGTCTGGTCACGGACTATGAAGTCCCGAGCTCGTGAACCGCCCCTAAGGATACAACATACAACAAAAAACAATTTAGGCTAAACCTAAAAGAATTAACTAATTAAATCTACGCAATAATTTTGATCTTGATCAGTTAGAGTATAAATGGTTTCTTAGGATTGATATTGAAGTGTTCAATGTTACAATGGAAATTTTCTTTAGAATGTTTCTAATTTTTGTATGTCTTTTTTATCCGTTTTTACAGTTCTTCTCCACACAATAGAGAACAACTGTAGTGAACCTCAAAACAAAAACGTTCTCACTTTGTCAAAAGGTGTTGATTACTGCTTTTAGATAATCTTCAATCCAACAATACAGCAAGGAAGAAAATATAAAAGTTATCTGAAGCACTTATAGCTTAATAAAATTTGATATTTACCTAGTATAAAGGTAAAAGGAGATGTTTGAGTTAGGGCATGTACCGTCGGCACTGGGGCAACCATCCTGGCGGAATAAATAGTTTGTCACAGGCTGCATTATGGTTCCTGTCCATCCTGCTAGGGTAGTCCCAAGCTGGGCAACTGTCACAGAACATATGTATTGTCAGATGTTTTAGATTATATAACATAAAATTAATAAATTGGTACTGAGATCCGTCTTTGCCTCAAGCCTAAAAGGCTGATATGTCAGCTATCATGAATAACCAGTGTAGCCATAAATTTTCCAGTGTGGGAATTCACCATCGTCTAGGGGAAAAAAATTCACTTTTTAATATATAGTTTTTGGAAAAAGCACAGTTGGAACACCCTACATTCTCACCGCAACTAATCATGTGAGCATAGCTCAAGAAGATAGCTGAAAACTGAATCTTACAAATATGCTACCTGATGGGATACTCTCTGGTGTGGATTAACGTCCACACGAGTGAGTGCTACGACTATCCACAGTACTATCCTGATAATTAGACCAATTCGTATATACCAAGGCGAAAATGTGGTTCGGACTCCACTATAAACTGTAGGTCCCTTAGTTGCCATTAGCTGTATGGGCTATTAATTAACAGCTGTGTCTAAGGAATATGTCAGCCTTAGTTACTAACAAGACTACAATATCGTGCCACTCATCCTACACTTATCTCCATCCATCCTTGGCTTAAAAACCTACCTTTGTATGGTCACCAATTCAAAGTAAAGTTTTAAAGTAAAGTATTAAAGTATATTTATCATCAAAGGCGATACAAATTAAAATTTACTTGATGAAGAGAAATGGCTGTTTTTCAAGTAGCTAATTCATCTTAGTCAGAGTTCCATACTGGTGTGGTAAGTAAGTAGTGGTGATGCAAATTTACTCAAGAAGGTGAGTATCAGTGACAGGGGGCCTGACTGTTCTTATCAGGATGATAACAGCGTTCAGTAGTCAACATTACCATTGCTAATGGCTCTATATATCATGTGACGACAGCTGTGACTTTTACTACTTTTTAACCAGCTGTCTAATTTGATTAATTAGAAGCATAGTTCAAGACTGCAAAGTTTGGGAAGCAGGATGGGCACTTGAGGTTGAAATATCTTTCAATCCCGTAAACAAAAACAAATCTGTTGAAGAACAAAAGTAAATAAATTTAACTTAATTGAGCAATGTGTTTAAGGAATTCAATTTACACATTTTAAAGTAACTATGTCTGAGATTTGGTTTTCATTAATGTGTACAAAAAAAGCATCTGTACTACTGAGTTTTACAATAATCGTCCAATACCAATTCATATGATTTTCCAAAACATATGATTTTTCCAAAACAAGCAAATATCCCGTTAAGCTTAACAAGAGGACTCTAGCATTTCTCTTTATGTGAATTCATCTCCATTCATACTTGACTTAAAATGCCTACATTTGTATGGTTGCCATTTCAAAGTAAAGTTTAAAATGTATTAAGAAATTTGGATTTTGTTAAAAATTTAATTGTTCAAACAGCTGATCTTTAAAAAAATTTTAAAGTCATGCAACTATTTAGGTCCATTCACACACATCAGTCCAGTCACTCAACTAACTGACGGACAGTTTACTACCGCTACAAAAATCTGGTGGAAAACTAAATTTACATAAATGTTTCTAAATCACCAATGAAGATTGAGACACAACAAATCTTAGAAGAGCACAGTTGGATTTTTTGGGGAATTTTTATATGGGATTAAAAGGAAAATATAAAACATAGATGTGATCCTTGGTTATAAATCTACATGAAGAAAACAGTATAATGGAACATAATACCATGATTAGTTTTCGTTTTAATACAAATAGATAACCACCAAATAAATTAATTAGCAACAACAGGGATAATTTCATACAATTACAGAAACTTTGGTGAATTGTATGACTTTGGGTGGGACTTGTATGAACTTTTTTTTGGTAGGCGTGATTATTTATTACACACAACGACCCAAAAAGAGAAATCTTTGTTAGATTTTACTAGCTGTTACCTAACGGGGCTTCACCCCCAGTGGCGTAGATACGGGGGGGGATCAGGGGGATATATCCCCCCCTTCAACCTATAATGGGTAAAAAAATTGTAATAACATTAAAAAAATAATGTTTTAACGTATGCAATGAAATAGTGAATCTTTTTAATTTTACTTCTATTGTATTATGCTTGTTTTTCGTAAGTATACTTTCAATATCAATAAATCGTAAATAAACTGCAATGCCAGTGAAAGTAGTATGGTTTTTGCGCGCGAAACAGAGTACAGACACAAGTCACAGAAGGTCAACAGCCTATCCGCCCCTCCCCCTTCCGCCGCCACTTCACCTTTTACACCTACCTGAAATTAATCGTTGTAAATAATAAAATAGTTAATCAAATGTCATGCCTATTGTACTAAGCTTGTTTGTTTGTACGTATACTTTATTATCAATCAATAAATGGAAACAGATAAACTACATTCCGGTAGCCGGTAGCAGTGGTGGGGTGGGATATTTGCGCGCCAAACAGACCTGAGTCACCGGACGTTCCGCGTCCAACCGCCCATCGACACCCTCCTCCTCTAACCCCGTCTCCCACACTACGCTTGATCTGTCGTCTGGTGTTAATTATTGTGCCAGTGTGTTTTTATCACTGAGCTATAATTCTAACTGGAGGTAGCAACTGAAGGTGAATGTCAAAGATGCGTGTCGCCAGCCGCCATGTTTGCGTGAGGCGGGTGTCATAAGAAGCCATGTTATTGCTATGACAAAAAAACTCACTGCTATACCAACCTAGTTATAAGAAGCCATGTTATTGCTATGATAAGAAAACCCGATGCTATACCAACCTAACAAAATCAGCGACACGCTTTTGACAGACTTCTGCCATGGCAGTGCTACCTCCAGTTATAATTTTAGCTCAGTGGTTTTTATGATTTTCGTATTCCGTGGTGTCTCATGAGTGTTCTGAGTGTCTGTGAAGTAAACTGATCGGGTTTTTCGCCCCGAAACAAAAATTTGGAGGCGTTAGCTGGTGTGGCAATGGAACAACGAAGTAAAGTGATTTTATTACTCGCCTTTGAAATCGAGTACGGGATTACCTTGCGAGTTAGGCAAACACATTTTGGACGAGTTACGTACAATAGTTTACGCCATACTACTAAATCTTTACAAATCTTTATATATGACCACCTGTTTCTTGTTTTAAAATAAAACTAAATCTTTAGATAAAGAATTACATTTAATGAGCCACAAATAAGTTTGTTTACTAAAACATTGTTTACAAAACAACATAATAATAATTTAAGAACCATATGACTTTATAGTCATATGTCATCTCCCTTCTTCACTTATAAAGGACTAAAAATCAATAGTCGTAATCTCTAAGAGAGGTTATGTTTTTGTTTATAAACACTCATTGCCACACAAATACAGTGTATAATCAGCTGATTGGTGACCGGTAAAACTCATTACAGTACAGTAGTACGCAATGAAACCCCATTTGATTAAGCTGGTGGCAAACAGATGTTTTCTGGACTAAATCCTTGCGAGGGAAGTTCATTAAAATAGTGTTGTGTGGGCGTGTGGCGTAAACATATTAATCAAAATATTCAGTGTTAAAGGAAGTGTTAGAGAAACATAACGTTAAATGTTATCATATAACGAAAAGCCTAGCCTAAGTACTTTAAAAATAAATGTAATAAAAAAACTAGTCCACCTGCAATTAAAGCGAAAAGCTCCAACAAAATTGCATAAAATGTATTAAGTATTAACACCAGATTTCACTTCCTAAACGCTTAAAAATAGTGTTTAGGGAAGTTATTTTTCTCCAATTTTCTGATTTTCTCCCGGACCCCCCTTGCTTGCTGGGGGGTATTCCATACCCACCAGACCCCCCGGTATGCCCCCCCATGACAAGAGTCTATCTACGCCACTGTTCACCCCGTTTGACTTCAAAAGTATATTAATAAAACTATTGATTGGTTACGTTAAGCGGAAATAAACAAAACAGAATACAGTAATACAATAGTTATTTGTGTAACTAGTGGGCAAAGTGGCACTTTGCTGCACACGAGAGCAATGCTGCGAGTGCGGAATGATCTTGAGTGCAGCAAAGGCCTTTTATATGCACTCGTGTTACACACATTATATTTTTCCTACAGTCACTATAAAGCATATAAATAATTAGTCTTTCAAACATTATACAACCTGTTTTTAGGTTCAGCTGGCAACACAAATAGGTGCCCTAGAGAAGGTAGTACCCGGTCCGTATCGTTCTATTTTTCCTCGGCAAGAAATGTGCTCCGCGTTTTGAGAATATAGTTCCGTATGTTTTTGTAATTTGAAGTGGTTTCCGCGCCTAAAAAAAAATTCTTTAAAGGTATTTTCTTGTTTATTAAGATCGTAGGAATGTTTTAAAAACGTTTAAAAGAAAAGTCCAGAAAGTTCAGAAATACCGAAACTATAAACACAAAATGACAGGTTAAATCGTAGTTATAATAGTCAATCAGCTGCTCTTAGTATTAGTATTTTTAAGTGTTGCCAACCTATTTCCAAGCGTACACGGATTACGTGCATAATAGAACCACGCTGTTTTGTGTTGTTTCGTTGGAATCCTGATGTGCGGCAAAGTATAAACCGTACGACAAAGTATAAACACTATAAACCATACGGCAAAGTATAAATATGCAGCAATTAGCAGCTTTCTGTACTATAAACAGTACAAGGAAGCCAACTTTGTTGGGTGACTGTAGGAAAACAAATAATCACACCTGATTTTAATAAGGTTAATAAATAATTGAAAGAATAACAAACAAATAAGTACAGCTGAGGTATTTTTAACATTAGGTATATGGAAAGTTCCTTTATAAAGGAATTAAAGGGCAATACAAAAATACACCATGCTCAATCAATGCTGTAAATTTTAATTTTAAACGTTTTATTGCAATTTTTTGACTTTCCTTATAAAACTCCATAGTTTCACATCTGCTTATCCAAGATAATCTTTAGCTCTTAACAGTTGAAGGATGATCAATTGTAATGTAAAATTAATGGGAGATAGTACCGGTATGTGCCAGTTTGCTTATAGTGTTTTCCATAAATAATACTTACTACTATAAAAATGCTCAGCAATTAATTACCCTACAATTTTAATCACAGTTTCAAAATATCAAACTTTTAAAGTAGTTTGTGTAATCTTACCAAGCCTGAAAAGTATGAACAGAGTCCTAAGAAGGTGCATGGTTGAAGTGACCAACAGTAATCAGTGTAACGACTTATCAGCCTATTTGTCAACCAGTGACAGGTGCTGAATTAAGGGGGCATTTTCCGAAAGAAGGGTCTTATCCAAAACTATAAATCTAACGGACACTTCTGGTTGTCCGATTTCCTATCAAAGTAGTAATTAAACTGTCCAAATTTTCTGAGTAGTAGAGAACAAAGACATCAATCACATTTAGTTTACATGTGAGAATATATTCAGTTGCACGTTGATTTACTCAAACTTTCAATATGGTCAAATTTTCTTATAGCAAATTTAAGCTACTTAATTACAGTATTAGCTATTTAATTTATTATGAGATTAGTACTTCAAATTATAAAATACCCCCGCCGCAGCAAACCTGCAGACTTAGCGAATTTCCATTTGCCTGATTGGATTTAAACTAAAATGTCTCCTTAAAAATATCACATTTATTCCCAATTTAAACCTGAAATTAGTTTAAAGAGTACTTAGGTAGGTTTGCTGCAACAGGGAGGGTAAAAAAGTTTTTTTTTGTAAAATATTAAAAGGTACTGTGGTTTAGTAAGAAATAAATGTATTTTCCAAATTTGATCAAAATATGTCCATAAACAAGCAAACAACAACAGTTGACTTATTCTCCCTAAGAATAACATGGGAATTTTAAAATTACAATTTTTTTAAATTTTCTCCGTAACAATTAGGCGCATAATAACGCTTCAATATACTAAATTATTTGTTTTTTTAAGCTCTACAAAATGGTTTAAAAAGAAATTGTGAAATTTTGTGTTTTTAGAGTCAAAAATGGGAAAAACCTATTTTTACCCCATAAAACCCCCCATAAACCCCCGTTCCCATAGTCCGATCATGCTGGTTCGCGAACTCATTCAAGTTTATCCCGCCTTACACCTTCAAACCAAATTTTATCAAAATCGGACAAAAATTACTCAAGTTATCGTGCGGATGGACACACACATATATATATATATATATATACTAGCTGTACCCGCGGGCTTCGCCCCGTTTAGCTTCATAAGTATTCGCATGGCTCATTCACGCCCTGGTTGAAGTTCGTTCGCTACGCTCACTCACCTTTAGGTTGGAGCTCGTTCGCTGCGCTCACTTGCCTTCAGGTTAGCTCGTTCGCTACGCTCACTCACCTTTTGGTTGGAAATTAGCTGTTGTCATAAATTTAAAAAAAAAATTAATAGTGCTGCACCCTGTTGGTAATCCTTGTAACTTTTATGCTGTTGAACAGAACATCATAGAACAGAACCAACTTGTTTAATTGAGACAGCTGTTAAGATTCATTAATTCCTTTTAAATATGACTAATCATAAGATTAACATGGGGAACTACAGAGCCACTGGGGCGGAGCCCGAAAGGGTCTTTGAGATAAGAATATGCTTTAATGTTAATCGGGAATGTGAGCTATCATCATGCCAAATTTCAGCCCAATCCGTCCAGTAGTTTATGCGTGATTGAGCAACAAACACACACACAAACACACACACAAACATACACACAAACATACACACAAACTCACAAACTTTCAGATTTATAATATTAGTAAGATAGATATATAAAAATTTGAACGAATGGTGTTTTTGGCCTCTGGGGACATCAAAATGAAAAAGTAAATCGGTCGCGGGCTTAGGTCTTACCATGAGACCTACGGTAATAGCTACTTCCCTATAGGGAAATTCGCTAAAAGTCTAATTTGAAGTGATATTTATGTTTTAAAATTAATATAAGAGGGCTATTTTAATTGATAATAGATGATGATGTACCGTATCACAATATTTAAAATCTCAATTGTTAGTTAAGCTTATTATTTTTAGTGAAAGTAACTTACTACATGTAAGATGTAAGGATATGTAGTCTTGGAGTGATATAACAGTAGTTGTGTCTTGAAAACTTGACTGTTATATCTTAATAGGTCTACTCCTACTCAACTTTGTACTTATGTATAAGATATAAAAATTATGTTACACTAGCCACTATACCCATGCTTTGCAACAGGAAGAGAACACTAAGACTAAAGAGTTATTTTCTATAGATCTGCTTTATGAAATAGCTGTAATTAACACATAAATGTCCACAACTTTGATAAAGCACCAACAAAATCATTTTCAAACACTTGGCTTATATCAATTTGGCAATTCTAATACCAATTTGAGTTTGGTGTATTTATAAGAATACCATAACAAACTTTGGAAATCGTTGAGGCAGATCCCCAGTAGAGTACTAAAATGAAAATATATATAAAAAAATTTTAAAATATGAATTCTTTACTTTGAAATGGCGACAAATGTGGGTATTTTAAGCCAAGTATGAATGGAGATGAGAGTAGGAAGAGTAGCGCGATCTTGTAGTCTTGTTAGTGACTAAGGCCCCCAATACCCATAAGGTACACATGGAAAGCTCCAGAGCCACTTGGGCGAAGTCCAAAAGGGCTTTTAATATAAGATAAGAATATTCCTACATTATGTTAATTGGGTAATATGAGCAAAATTTCAGCCCAATCTGACCAGTAGTTAAAGTGTGATTGAGCCCCAACAACCAAACACACAATTTCTCACATTTATATTATAGGATTACACCTCGTTCACAATATTTAAGCTGTTTTAGAAAAAGAAATCTATTACTTCCACTTGACCCTTACCTTTAAAATAATAGCTCAACAGCTGATTAAGCAACATACATTAAATACAAAAACGTGGCGGGGGGGGGGGGGACTTTCCCTCAAACCATATGAATAAATAACTAGGTGGCGTTCGCAGAGGCATCCACAAAATTGAGCGGAGTCATCAAGGGTTAATATTATATTGTTTTTGTCATACTGCAGTAAAAACAGTCGTTTTTAATGCATGCGTTGCGGGTCTAAAGTAGCATTTTTACTCTTTAGGGAGAAAAAATCGTTTTTAGCCTCTATATGGAGTAAAAATCAGCTGTTGTCAACTCAGTTGTAAATTTATATTGTAAACGATTCCATGTATCGAAATATGTATCGATTCGTGCTTAGTAATCATTTTAACCTACAGTCTACAGTCTCTTCCCATAGCGTTTTAGCATTGCAGATACATTAATCCATTCCCAAACTCACCACTGCTCACCTTTACTACTTCCTTCACCACCCCCTACGTCGTGGACCTGTTTCCCTCTCTTCCCATAGCATTTTAGGATTGCAGATACCCAAAAAAAAAACCAAAGACAGTTCCTACACTCTGCACTGCAAGACTTACTACTTCCTTCACCATTTCCTACGTCATAGACCTGTTTCCTTTCCTTCTCATAGCATTTAAGTATTGGATACATTAAATTTATCTAACTGCACAAACAGTTCTCCCACTCTGCACTGCCAGTCGTTACTTCTTCCTTCACCACTTCCTACGTCATGGGCCCTGTTTACTTCCCTTCTCATAGCATTTTAGGATTAAAGATACATTAATCTAACTGCCACAGACGGTTCTCACACTATGCTCATACTTTACTACTTTCTAAGCCACTTCCTACATCGTGGATTAATCACTTTCCATAGCAATTTAGTATTTTAGATACGTTAATCTAATTGCCACAAACATTCCCCACACTCCGCACTGCTAGCCTTTACTACTTCTTTCACTATTTCCTATATCTTGGGGATGCTTCCATCCCTTCTCATAGCATTTTAGCATTGCAGATACATTAATCTAACTGCTACAAACGGTTTCCAGTTCCCACACTCCACACTGCTCACCTTACTACTTCCTTCACCTCTTCTTACGTCGCGGACCTGTTTCCCTCTCTCCCCATAGAATTTTAAGATTGTAGATACCTTTAATCTAATCGTCATAATCAGTCCCCACCTGGAAGAGAATCCTTCTAGACCTGTCAGCCCTGCGGTGGTAACTGTTCAACCCAGCTACAGTGAGGCACTGAAGTCAACACCAGTGTGTGCAGTGGAAAAGCAGAGTAAAGTGTCTTGCATTCAAAATAGTGATTTATTTTCTTCTGTAAATTTAGATTTAAACTAAGCTGTACTGACAAAGACCATAAGTCTGCCAGTCTCCAAAATTTTACAGTAACAGATATTAATAATTTTGACATAAATTCAACTGAAGATAATAAAAATCCACAACTTATTCATCCAGGATGTAATTCAGATCTTATAATGTTTTATAATATTCAAAATTTAAGCTCGTCAAAAATATCAGAACTCAATTTGTTTTTAACTCAGTCTGCTTTAAAAATTAAAGTAATATCACTTGTTGAACATTGGCTTGACAATGACTCTATTAATCTGGCTAACACAATCAATAATTTTTGTTTGGCAGATTTTTATGTAAGAGAAAATGGTGTAAGAGGAGGTTCATGTATTTTAATTAATAAACAATGTAAATTTATACCTTTAAAGGATTTCTCTGATTTGAATGAAGATTTTATATTTGAAGGTTCAGCAGTTGAACTCCCAGATTTCAATTTAATTGTTATTTCAGTCTATACAATTCCAACCTACAAAATGAATAAATTGTTTCTGGTCAGATTCGAAAAGCTGCTTTTGCTTCTGCAAAAAAGAGTAAAAAATAAGTCTGTTTTCATCACTGGTGATTTTAATATTAACATTTTGGAAAACAATCCTATATCTTGTAGATTTAGAGAAGTGGTTGAGTGTGGTGGGTTCTGGCTGCAGTTTGAGGAGCCCACAAGGATAGACCCAAATCGCAATTCAGAAACTTGTCTAGATAATATTATTACGCAAAAGAAATATGAGGTAAACTTTAAGCTAAATACTAATTTATGCATGTCAGACCATAATGCTATTTTCTTAAATCTCCCCAAGCCAACTAACTGTAAGATTGCTGTAAATAATCCGGCACCTTCTAGTAAAAGAATATTTTCAAATGAAAAAATTAATTACTTCATAGATTTTTTTAAAAGTAATTGCAATTTTAATTTTGATCCGAGCTTGAACCCAAGTGAAAACTATTCCAACTTTCTGCACCAATTCCTACTAGCATTCAATCACGTTTTTCCTCCA